ATGCATCTGCGCGTGTGCGAGCTGTCGGAGACTCCTAGCGGTTGCAGCAGATTGAGACAAACGAGTATAAAAAAAAAGGGTTTAGGGTTTAGGGTTTAGGGTTTAGGGTTTTGTGTTTTTGTATTTCAGGTGCCCTTTTCACACTCCTTGAAGCTTGAGGCAGCCTGCCGGGAGGCAGACGCCCGCTTTGAGCAGCAGCAGCAGCAGAAGCAGAAGCAGCAGCAGCAGCAGCAGCAGCAGCAGCAGCAGCAGCAGCAGAGCAGCGGCAGCCGCAGCCGCAGCCGCTGCTTGCTCGGCTCCTCGCTGGTGAGCCCCAGGTCTGAACCCCCAGAAGAAAGAGAAGCGGAGCTGCAGAGACACCGCGTGCAGACGTGGTGGGTTTCGGATGCAGACCACAACGACGTGGAGCACAAGGCGGGGGTAAGCAGCTGTACATACACCCCAACACTGCTCTGGCCGTCGAGGGTTTAGGGTCTAGGGTTTAGGGTCTAGGGTTTAGGGTTTAGGGTTTAGGGTTTAGGACGTTGGAGAGGGTTAAGCCATGGGGAGAGGCTTGTGGCCTTAGGGAAGGGTTAAGAGCTAGGGTTTAGGGTCTAGGGTTTAGGGTTTAGGGTTTAGGGTTTAGGGTTTGCGGGTGTTCAGGATGAATACTACCGGCGCATATCCGCCTTTCTTGAGTTCTGCGCCAAGTGGCATGCACAGAGGGACGCGAAGTTTCCCAATACATAACAAGCTCCGAGGGTTTAGGGTTTAGGGTTTAGGGTTTGGGGTTTGGGGGGCAGCATGTGTTTGTTCTTTGTTTGTTATGGATATGCTGGTGGTTTGCGTTGGCTTTAAGGGTTTTGTTTTTTCTACTTTTTAGTATTCATTTATACATGCAGGTGGATGGGTGCTGCGTTGAGGTGTATGTACACCCCACGGCTGCATGCGGGGGGAATCCAGGGGCTCGGGTGTATCCTCATTTAATTATATATATATAATATATATATTATATATTATATTATATATGAACAAAATATATAAACAAACGAGCTCTTGCTGCTCTGCAGCCAGCAGCCTCTCTATCTTTACTGAGCCACAGAGGCCCCCGACTGTACATACAAACAAAAGTAGCAGCGAGAGAGTGAGAGAAACAGAAAAAAAATAACAAACTGAAACAGAAACAGACTCAAACGCGAAACAACAAAAAAATAAATAAATAAAATAAATAAATAAATAAATAAATAAATAAATTCATAGACCCTCACGAGGCTTCCTTCGTCCCCCCCGTCCCCCCCGTCCCCCACCCAGCTGAAGCTGCCGGCGGGTGTAGCTGCGTTCATCAGTAGAGACTTGCATGCACGCATGCATGCATGCATGCATGCATG